GCTTCTCCACTCCAGGACACACCCACCCTGCGTCCTGATTGGACAGACCATAAATTCGGTTGAGGAAATCACTTTCAATGAGCGGGTTCCCAGATGTATGTGAGTGGAGCTGGGCGGAGCGAGACATGCATCTGGCTGTTGTCAGGTTAGCATAGTGTACCTTTAAAATAGGAATAAGTAACTTTTACCACTAGGTGGGCTGTTGAGCAATGTGTGTAGACCTAAACAAGATGTGTTCTTGTGAAGAACTTTACGATGCATGAGAGCAGGGGAAATTCCTTTTAGCAAATGATGGTTTACAGGTACATGTAAACATTTTTATGCACTGGTTGTGCTTTCCACCATTTCGCTTCTTTGCTACATTTTATAGGCAAGCATAGACTAAGCCCTGAGTGGGAGCTGTTCACATTGCCATTGTGCATGAGCTGCCAGTGTGGAGAACTAAACAGAGAGATTAGGTGTGATGTCACACCATATTCACTCTAAAAATATAACAAATTTTACCTTTAATATCCTTCAAAAAGAAAAAAAAAAATCTTATTGCTTCCTTAACAATCTACCAGCATATCACACAGAAACTGAAGTTTCTCTTTTTGCCTTTCCAGAACGGTCTAAACTCAGATTAGATTCAGAGCATCTGTGGACTACGCAGAGATTTTTGACAAGATGCTGAATAGGCCTTAGTACCCTGGCTTGATCTTAACCTGGACTTCTCCAAGGGTTTGCTGCCCCTTTCCCAGGGGGCGCCAGAGCTCCCTCTAGAAGAGGGAGGTAAAAATATAAACCTGAAAAAGGAATTAGAATATAAACATGGACTAATGCAGCACTGATATAATACCTGCATCACCAAGAACATTGCTCAGTTAAAACCACATATTAATTCTAAAAGAATTAATAAATTAAATTAAAAACTAAAAGAGCTAGTTTTATTTATATTCATAATCCAATCCAATTCACTTTATTTACACGTTTTTTAAACAGAAGCATTTCCAAAGCGCTGCAGTAAAAATATTAACATATAATTAATACAATGCAATACATGGCAAAAAATACAAGAAAGAAAATAACAAAACCACCTTTTTTCTATAAACATTATTGAGTTAAAAGTTTTAATTGTTTAAGATGTGTTCTCTGATTCACCGTTTGCAATGAAAGCTCACATTCCCCTCTATCCTAACCTACCAACAGAACAAAAGCTAAAGCTTTGAATCACATTAAAATAACGATTAGATGCCTGTATGGGTAAATAGGACACAAATAAAAGTGAGAGTGCGTTTACATTCGATGTTGGTGAAAAGTGCAAAATTTATCTGTATAAATTCTAGGGCTTGCAGCTAATGATTACTTTGCTAATCTATTAAGCCTGAATGGTTATGCCAAAAATTCAAATTATTATTTTTTGGATTATTTTTAACCAAAATTGCGATTTTATTTTGATTTTCCTTTGCACTACCTTGTAGATGTTTCATGTTTTTTTTTTTGTTTTTTTTTAAGTTTGCCTTCCCAGACTCCGTTTTTACAGGATTTTATTGTAACCACTGTGTGAAAAAGTGTTTACTTCTCGCATGCATGGATCTGCTAGCTTAAAGGGCAGAAGGGATACATTTAATGTCTTACTCTTGTTAAATATAGTGTGATTACAAATCAGTGCCTCTGCGAAAAATGCTTTTTGTTGGGTTGCGATTATATTGCAAATGGAATTAATTGCCCAGCCCTACTGTCGGTAATTTGTTAGATTAATTGGTTGATAAGCGGATAGCAAAAGGATCCTTGAAAAAGATATTTTACAGCATTAAACCAGGTGAAACTAAAACTTGTCCAAGTGCGGGGTTCTGGGTACAGTATTTTGATTGATTAATATGTTTTTCTTTTTTTTTTATATATATCTAAGTATATATATATATATATATATA